ATATATATATATATATATATATATATATATATATATATATATATATATCCTCGCCATACCTCTAAAACTGAAAATATTCCAGCAAAATCATGGAGAAAATGATTATAATATGCTGCTTGTTATAATATGTCGCATTAGCTATTTTTTAAATATTTTTTCTTGTATTGATACTGAGGTACGCCAAGGATCCCACATAAGTGTCCTTCAGGTACGGGATTTGCATTAGAATATAACGGTAATATTGAGGAAAGTGATTGTACCACTCTTGTCGGATGGGTTTGTTTCCTGACTGTGGATGATTCTCACGCAAAGCAAGGCAACTTAGTGAATTGACTCACCTCAGAGAGAATAAGTGTAAGTACAAAATAGTGTACCCCAATCCTAGCTATATCATTTATTTAGACCAATATGGGCGGACTACGTTCTAGTGAATACTCTTGGAATTTGGAAATGCTTTCATCAATGAGGACGTGAGTTTGCTCTAGACGCAAAGCAACGTCGTGAGCTGACTCACTGCAGATAGAAAAGGTGTAAATAAAACATAGAGAGTGTGTATGTTGACCCCAATTCTAGCTACACCAATAAGTCAGACCGATATGGACGGGGTGTGTTGGTAATGAATCCTCTTGGAATTTGGAAATGCGTTCGTCAATGAGGATGTAGACGCAGCGCAGCGTCGTGCGCTGACTCACCGCAGAGAAGAGGTCGAGCCCGAGGACGGTGAAGCCGCTGACGTTGACGACGCTGGGGGTGAAGGCGCGCAGCATCACAAAGTACACGCTCTTGCGCGTGCTGACACTGCACCGGAACCACTGGCTGCAGTACACGTCGTTCGCCACTTGCTGGCTCTGAAACAAAATAACTGATGCGCTAACCCATGCCACTGGCATTTCGAGCGCCTCGGCGCAGTCTTTGCCCGTTCCCCAAGTCGCTTGAATGATTGACCAATGATTTTGGGCGCGTGTATCGCTAAGGGCATTAGTTCGGTGCTAAGGGTAGTAGTCTAGAGCATGTTTTATCGCGGGATGTGGCGGTAATCGCACCCGCTGGATGGCGAGATCCACCGCCGACATACATTTCGACTTGTGGTTGTTTTTTCCAAATCAGTTAACCCCCGGCGGGGTACCACCCCAGCCGTGAGAAGCTCTAAGATCCCGACTTGTGTGGCTGTGTAGTGCATGTAAGTGTAAGTGTGTAAGTAAGGTGTGAGGATAAGACAAACAAGGGGAAGGAAACATCGCATATTAGTGTAATGCTCCGGCATGTGCCTGGTGTTGATCGGAGAAACCACGGATAACTACCAATCAGAATTATCGGCCGCTAGAATTGTCCTTCACACAGTGGCTGAATTCGATCAGCGTGTGTCGAACGTTCTTCCGCACGAGACTGGAACCCTAGGACCTTCAAGTCTGAGACTCTGCAGTGACATTGAGTGATGCCCAGAGCCACCTCTTCCGGTAGTACATGTTTTGAAAACAAGCGACGTGAGGAGTGAGTTTTCAAATTTGTACGAATACAATAAAGCAACCTCATAAATGAGTTGCATACACTATTTTTGTAAAACAGCATTATAAGAAATGTAAAAGAATTAATGTTAATTTTTGGACACAACTATATTGTAAGAACACGAGTATTTCACTTTCACATAGGCATTTCACTGCCAAAAAAACGGTGGTTGGCTGTTTCGTTGACCGCTACCTCCACACGAGTCTCTCTCTGCGAATGGCTAAATGTGTGATGACGCAATCATTTCTGCAATGATTGACTAATATGTCATTATCTCTGCCGTAAGATGCCCTCTTATGCAACGAATGCAACGAATATTTCATGCAACGAAAATGGTAATTAATAATGCTGAAATATAAAAAAAATATTTTTTGTCTCTCAATGCATATAATTTTGTTGCACAACACTTTGAATAATGTGCAAAGCAAACTAAGTTATTTATTTAGATCCTAATAATTTACTCATTTAAAAATTCTTTGCTCACCTCCCACATTAATTCCGTCGCAAAATAACAGAAAAGTCCCAGCTCCATCACTTCGTAGGATAAAAAAGCGGCTGACGCCATGATCTTCATATTGCCTAGGCCAAGCTGCAAGAGAGTTTAGTTATTAAAACATCGAATCATGTTTCAATTACAAGGATGTCAAGTATTTCTTCTTACTTTCAATTATTGCTTGACAGAGCAGGATTGGGTAAAAAATTATATGCATATTACACCAATTGATTGACTGGACCATTAGTCCAAGAAGTAGTGACACCAATCATTCGTTATATGAAGACATCACTGATAATATCTCGTGTCTGAGGGAAAACCGTTTAGTCCCTCACTACTTGTGCTTCTGCGTCAATCTCTGTTAAGCAAAGGAATGTCAGCTCATTTTATTTAATTATAATCATTTTTATTTAACGTCAAAATAGAAAAAAAGAGTGAGACGTATGATGGGTAGAAATGTATTCTGTGAACGTTAGATTTAGATTTAGATTTAATTAGTCAAAAAACAGTAAAAAGTGTATGTGACGTATGGGGGAGAAGGCCGTTTTCGTTAATTCTGGTACCTCTACCGTAACCCATTTACATGTTGAATTCTGAATGCTGTAGCAATAATAAAGACAATTTGAAGATATTTTCTTCGGTGTGAAAACGTATAGAGCATTGCATTCTCCGGCAAGATATTGTTTATTAGCTTTAAATTATTTTACTTTCTCGCTTATTGCTTGCGCAGAACATTGCAAGGTTCAAAAACGCTCCTGCACGCTCGTTGCACACCTTGTACAACGAATTCAAAGCCAGAAAAATATTTTCAAGGTTTGTATAAAAAATCTATTGCTTGAAACTACTTACTTTTCGCACCAAATGTTCTACGATTTCAAATAATTTTTACAAAAAATGATGATTGATATGTTCTAATTTGGAGAGAAACTGTCGTGTAAATAGTATTACATTACCATTACTAAAGGCGAGAAAGTACGTGCTATTTAGCACCACTAATTATTACTATTATTCTTGTTATTGTTATTATTATTATTGTTACCATGAAATTCTAGGATTCTAAACTTACCGATGAAGCGTGAAATATCACACAAGTAAAGAGAATCATCATGTTTAGGCTCTCCACCAATATAATATCGCCCAGCAGTTCGCTGACTTCCCGCACGAGACTGTAATAGTGCGGAAACATTTAATATAAGAGTAAGTACAAGCTAAAATAAATTTTTTGTCAGATCAAAACCCTGGATATTGTTTACAAGATTTATAAAATAATAATGTACTAAATTGAAAAAAAATCAGTAAAAATTGCCTATGTATTGAAGTCATCTTCAGGTTTATATTATTTTTTAAGTTTATTAATTGCCTGAATATCATTACATGATGATAATTACTTTAATGATTTAATCTACTTGCAACAAATTTAATTAAATTTTTACGTTTCCTGCCTTTACTGTATATTAAGAGGAAAGGTATTGGAATCACTTCAACACTACGATCACGTCTAGTCGTAAAATACGAGTTTAAAGATCTTTAGAGCTGTAACTGTAGACACATCAGAAGTGGGGTCTATTAGTACTGATGTAAAGATTGTTTAGGTTGGTGCAAATGAAAAGGGGATATGCACAATTTTGAATCCATAAATCAAAATGTCTGTCTATAAGCATGGATCGATGGACTTACGTGTCACTCATATCTGTAAGTTTTAAACTTAAGATCTGTAGTAACTGTAGATCTTGTAGAAACTGTAGATCTTGAATTGAAATGTTGTAAGTACGCCAAGAGTAAAAGCAATTTAAAACGTTCAGAAAATCACTACGAAATTTTAATTTGGGGGGTACTTAACAAGAGCAGCCTGTGATATTTTCTAAAGTTTTTGCAAAATTACTGTTTTTGCAAGTTCTGAAAATAATAGTCAAATTCATATAACTCAATCTCCTACACTATTCTAACTACAGCTGAATATCGAACACAAGATTTATGTACTTTGTTCGTTATATTGAGTTTTAAGTGAAGTTTCTCATGTATTCAGAACCTGCTTAAATTAGGAATTTTCTACACTGCTACTTGGGAGAAATTGACATTATTGGTGATACATTTGCGATTTTCAAACAAAACTGAGCTTCTAATCTAAAAATTAATATCACCAGTGATTTTCCCATAAAAATTCGTACTAAATCCATAATTTTCAGAAACATCCGTAACATGTCGAAAATCGGAAAATTTCGTCGATCGACGAAACTTTACATTTTTTAACACAAAAATTAAACCACAATATTTCACGAACTGTGTAAAATAAATCTATTTTAAAGACACAAATGAGTTTCTAAATTCTTGAAGTTTTAGAAAATGTCGTCATTTGATATATAAGATGAGAAATGTAGTCTCAAAGAAACTTAATTTTAAAGCATTGTATTTTCGCATCATGCATGCTCTAAGAATATTAGCCAATTTACATTGGCTGTATGTCCTAAACTATTGAAGATACAGCGTTGAAATTCGCGTGATTTGAGTTTTAAGTGGAGTTTCTCTTGTATTCATAACCTGCTTGAAATGGAAATTTTCTACACTACTACTTGGAAGAAATTGAAATTTATGGCGATTTTGTAATTACTAAAAACCTAAGCTTCTAATCGAAAAATGAGTATCACCAGTGAATTTTCCATAAAATTTCGTACTAGGTCCATGGTTTTCAGAAATATCCGTGACATGTCGAAAATTGGTCAATTTCGTCGATCCATTCATTGATCGACGGAACTTTACATTTTTTAACACAAAATTTAAAACACAATAATTCACAAACCAAGTAACATAAATCAACTATAGAGACACAAGTGAGATTCTAAATTCTTGTAGTTTTAGAAAATGACGTCATTTGTCATAAACGGATGAGAAATGTGGCCTCAAAGAAACTTAAATTAAAAACCTTGTATTTTCGCATTTAGCAAGCTCGTAAAATAATAGTCATATTCAAATGGCTTTATCTCCTAAACTATTGAAGCTACCGCGTAGAATTTCGCATATGAAAACTGTATGTACTTTGTTCGTTAAATTGAGTTTTAAGTGGAGTTTCTCTCGTATGCATAACTCGCTTAAAATGTAAATGTTCTACCCTTTTTTGAAAGAAATTGACGTTTACGGCGATACTTTCGCCATTTTCTAAAAAACTAAGCTTCTAATCGAAAAATTAATATTACCAATGAATATCCCATATAATTTCGTACTAGGTCCATGGGTTTCAGAAAAATCCGAGACATGTCGAAAATCGGAAAATTTCGTCGACCGAAAATTTCGATCGACGGAACTTTACATTTTTTAACACAAAAGATAAACCACCGTATTTCACAAACTATGTAACATAAATCAACTCTAGAGACACAAGTGAGTTTCTACATTCTTGTAGTTTTAGAAAATGTCGTCATTTGTCATATACGGATGAGAAATGTGATCTCAAGGAAACTTAAATTAAAAACTTTGTATTGTGTTTTAAGTGGAGTTTCTCACATATTCCTAACCTGCTTCAAATGCAAATGTTCTACCTTACTTTTTGAAAGAAAATGCCGTTTACAGCGAAACTTTTGCCAATTTCTAAAAAAACTAAGCTTCAAATCGATATAAGAATATATCCAGTGAATTTCCAATAAAATTTCGTACAACGTCTGTGGTTTTCCGAAGAATCCGTGACATGCCAAATTTCCAAAAATAATAATTTCAGCACTGCTATCTTCAATTCTGAATACAAGTAGAACACTTTAAAAGAACTGCATTGGTTCATAGCAAACTCCAATCTGACGAATAGTGTCCGAGATAGACGAGAAACAAAAGGAACCTCAATTGAACAAGTTACAAAACGAC